GGAGAGGGGCCCGGCCGTTTGCTGAAGCTGAGGGCCACGCGGAGAGGGGCCCGGCCGTTTGTTGGGGCCGAGGGACACTGTGGGACAAAGGCTGGGTATTTAAGCTGAAACCTGTGAAGTATTTTACAGAAAGTGTTGTGTTTGATTTTCAGTGACAATAATGAAGACGAACTGGAGAAAGGGAAAACCGATAAGGGAGAAGATGGGCCGAAAGGTATTTAGTCCTTCCCATCTTATCCCTAGTGCAAGTTTATTCTGACAGGACCATTGTGGGGAGGATGTTTGCACTGGGACTGACTCGGAGATTGTGTTGTAAAACTGGGCTCCTGTCCGTGTAGTATTGATTCGTCGCAAGTAACCGTTATTACAAAGGCCAGGAGGCTAATTCTGTCTGTATGTAAACAGTCACCCTTGTAAACCTCCCAATAACCTCCAGTACATTCCTTGGTGGTTACTGTACTTCTGTAACTAAAGCTTGTTGTGTTTTGCTGAGAAAGATCCAATCAACAGCTTTAAAATGAATGGTTGATGTTTCTTTATCATAGCTGGATACTGAGAAACTGCAGTCTTGCCCTGAGTTAGTGTCAAGGGATCAGATTGAGGGCAGCTTTCACGGTGAAGACCTGTCTCTGGAGTTCCTGTGTGGACTGGCAGATTTAAATAATGATCCCCATCAGGGCTAGTCAGAGCATCATCTCCCACATTCTCTACCCTCTCTCCTTCCATTCTCCCCTCTCCCTCTTACTTGCTCTGTCGCTGCTAATTTCCTGGACTATCTCATTTGATGTTATTAGTGTCCAGGCTCAATGATTATGTTTCCACAGCCCTCTAGAGTTGAGGATTCCAAAGACTCACTGTCCTCTGAGTGAGAAATTGCTCCTCATCTCAGTCATACATACCCTGCCTGTTATCAGGTTAATTCTCTGATTCTAGAGCTTCAACCAGGGCACCAAGCCTCTCCACTTTATCCTGAGGAAGTGGTGGATTCGGGCATAATTACAACATTTAGAAGCCATTTGGATAAGTACGTGAGTAGGAAAGGTTTGAAAGGATATGGGCCAGGAGCAGGCAGGTGCGACTAGTTTACGTTGGCACTATGTTTGGCATGGACTGGTTGGACTGAAAGGTCTGTTTCCATGCTATAGGACTCTCAGACAATCCTGCCATCCAGAGGGTTAGTATGGAGAACCTCAGTTACACTCTCTTTCTGACAAGTATATCCCTTCTTAGATAGGAAGATCAAAGCTGCATCCAGTACTCCAGGTAGTGCCTCACCAGGTGCTATACAACTGCACCAAGACACAACTGGACTTGGAACCCCTTGCAATAGTGGCAAGCAGAGCATTTGTCTTCTTAATACCTGTTGTACTTGCATGTGAGAATTTAGTAATTTGTAAAGAAGGGCACTCAGGTTCCTTCTGACATCAATAATTACCATTTAAAAAAGCACCTCTTCCTCCAACCAAAGTGAAAAACCTCACACTTACCTACATTCCATTCCATCTCCTATGGTCTTGCCCATTCACTCAGTTTGTCCAAATCCCCCTGAAGCCTCTTTGCGTCCACCTCATATCTCACATTTGTTCTATGTTGTAGCTGTGGGCTGTAATGTTGGGAACAGTGACCCTTTAAGAAGTGTGTCATGTGAGTCAGCAGACAGACTTCTGGCCTTGTTCAGACTCATTTTGAGTTCTGTCAGAAGTACAAAGCCTCAGAATAAAGCCTCCCTGTTGGGTAGCTGCAAACAATGAGTTTGTATGTTCTTTAGTTTTAAATGGAGCCTAGTAACTGCCTAATACAGAATAACATTCACACCTAATTTAGTGTCATCTGCAAACTTGGAAGCATTACAATCTGGTCCCACACTCCAATCATTGAGATGGTGAGAAGCTGGGGCCTAGGTTCTGATCTTTGCAGTGCTGCACTCATTAGATCATTTGCAATCAGTTCCACTTTATTATCCACTATCCTCTATGCCCTGGTAAGCAATGCCAATGACCCCAGAAGCTGTACTGAAAGTTTAAAACTTCACTACAATACAGGTAGTTCTGCTATAACATGTGTTTCGTTAACACAAATTGGCATAACGTGATTGATGAATAGTGGATGCTGTCTGGATAACACAAACTTTCTGCTGTACAGGTACAGTGATTTTCTATAGTGATTTCCCTATAGTGTGATTTTCTATAGTGCAAAGTTGCATAAGAAGGCAACAATTACATTATAGGAGAACTGCCTATACTCAGTTTGCCTCTTTGTAAAAGAGAGATCCACCTAACGCTTTTAATCAACTGAAAAAAATCTCCTTCATTATAAACAAGACTCATTCTTTAAACAAGTGGCAAAAGTAGCTAACAGGCTAAACTATAACTATGATTAGAATTAGAAATTAGAATTAAGCAACATGCACTCATACACTGACAAGATAAGAAAGCTCATCACAGATGTTATAGGTTTGAAAAAATAGGCACAAAGGAACTAACCAGATGCAGGTAAAGGGAATGAGTTCAGAAACTAGAATTGGTTGGCCTTTCATAGTGCCATCGATTCCCGGCTGGTGAGATCAAAATCCTGACTAATAGCAGAGTAATTAAAGGGACCGGAAAGAGCAGCACAGGGAGAGGGGAAATGAGAGAGAACAGCACGGGGAGAAGGAGACTGAGAGAGAACAGCACGGGGAAAGGGGGGAATGAGAGAGAACAGCACGGGGTGAGGGAGACTGAGAGAGAACAGCATGGGGAGGGGGGGAGGGAGGGGGGAAAATGAGAGAGAACAGCACGGAGAGGAGGGACTGAGAGAGGATAGCATGGGGAGAGGGGGGAATGAGAGAACACAGCACGGGGAGTGTAACGAGAGAACAGCATGGGGTGGGGGGTTGGAAATAAGTGTGAGCAGTGCTTCTAACAGGCCAGTTACTTACGCTAAGTTCTTCCAGTTTCTCCTTTGTGCTAGTCTCTTGGATTTGTTATTTCTGGGAGGTTTCCTGTATCTGTGAAGATAGACTCAATTGTTTATTTTAGCTTTTCTACCATTTCTCGATGTGCTATTATAAATTCTCCTGTAATGGACCAACATTTCTCTCTGCTCATCTTTTTCTTCATCTATAAGTTTAGAAGCTTACACAACCTATTCTTCTGTAAATTCCATTGTTAATCTATTATCACTTTCATGTTCAGTTTCTGTGTTACAAAGAACAAAGGACAATACAGCACAGGAACAGACCCTTCAGCCCTCCAAGCCCGTGCTGACACATTTTGCCCTTCCATACTGAAACTGTCCTCACTTACAGGATCTGTATCCTGCAACGCGTTCCAGGCACTCACCACCCTCTATGTGAAAAACTTGACTCACACATCTCTTTTAAACTTCCCCCTCGCACCTTGAACCTGTGTCCCCTCGTAATAGACCCCTCCAACCTGGAAAAAGCCTCATCTTTGAACTGTATCCATGCCATTCATGATCTTATAAACTTCTGCCAGGTCACTCCTCACCCTCCTCCGGGTGCTCCGGTTTCCTCCCACAGTCCAAAGATGTGCAGGTTAGGTGGATTGGCCATGCTAAATTACCTGTAGTGTTCAGGGATGTGTAAATTAGGCAGGTTTGGAGAATGGGTCTGGGTGGGATTCTCTGAGGGTTGGTGTGGACTTGTTGGGCCGAAGGGCCTGTTTCCACACTGTAGGGGTTCTACGGTATGGTAAATCTCCTGTGTTCCAGTGAAAACAAACTCAGTCTACGCAACCTTTCTTCATAGCTAAAATCCCCAAAGCAGGCAACATCTTGGTAAACCTTTTCTGTGCCCTCTCCAAAGCATCCACATCCTTCTGGAAGTGTGGTGACCAGAACTGTACACAATACCAAAAGTGGCCCAACTAAAGTTCGAGAAAGCTGCAGCATAACTTGCCTATCCTTGTACTCACTGCCCCCTCCAATGAAGGCAAGCATGCTATAGGCCTTTTTTACTACCTTATCTACCTGTGCTGCACCCTTCAGTGATCTATGGACTGCACACCCAGATCCCTCTGCATATCAATACTGCTAAGGGCTCTGCCATTCACTGCATAATTTTCACCTGTACTTGACCTTCCAAAATGCATCACCTCACACTTTTTCCGGATTAAGCTCCATCTGTCATTTTTTTTAACCTGTTATCCTGCGCTGATTTTTGAATTCTCCTGGCATTGTGTTTCTCAGGTGTTGATGAGACTGCTGGGTCTGAGAGCAGTGAGGAGAGTGAAGAGGAGAAACAAAATGAAGAGAAAGATGAAGAAGATGATGACAAGAAATCTACAGCCCCTGAGAAGAGGGAAAAGAAGAAAAAGGAAGGTTTGGGATATCGATTCCAGCTGCCCCATCTCTCCCTGTTTGTGCTTTTCAGACTTGTGTATGAGAAGGAGTCGTGTGTGTCTATATGAACTGTTCTGGGGTCTCTCTCTGCATGGATGCGTCTGCCTGTGTGAATGCTTTTATTGTTGACCTCCTGTCCTAATATACTGTCTCTTATCTAAGGTTAAAATTGCAACCATTAATATTTGAGCTGTTCCTTGTTCTGATCCAGTTATTTCTCATTGAGGGGAGCCTTTCGTGTTTATCTCAGCTGACCTCAGTACCTGTAACCTGTGTCCAGAGAGCCCAAGGCATAACCAAAGGAACCCGCACCCCCACATGGCCTTGATTCGATGCCCCATGACATTACCTGCAACACCATCTATTCACCTGGAAGATTCTGATCTTTTATCTGATGCCCTGGGATTACCCAAGTTGTGATCAATGACATTGTGAACTTGCCAGTGTTGATGCCGTTATTACCAAAACAGTTGCAAGTGTAATCAGTAACTTTCCATTCACCTGGTCCCCTGTCCGACTGTCACTTTTGTTTGCAGAGGTGAGGCAGCACGTTCTCATTGTGGCCATGTCTGTCACAGACACTGGTCAGTGTTGCTGTCTCGGCTATGATGAGGGAGGTGGAGCCCTGCCTCATTAATCCCCAGTCCTCTCCGTAGCCCCTGAGCCTGAGCTCAGCTGTAGTGCTGGTGCTGCTGGGTGAGATGAGGACTTGGTGTAGCTGTGAAATGTATCGTGGAGAGATGGACTGGAATCTGCGAGACCTGAGGTTTGATTGAGTTGCTCTTGTTCCACAGACAGCAGCGACGAGTCAGAATCCTCGGATGAGAGTGACATTGAGTCTGAAGCTGCATCTGCACTTTTCATGTCGGTAAGTTTCTTACGGTGCAGAATCCGGGTGCACACTCCCTGAGGAGGCCCCGTGACATTTAACCTTCTCTTTCTCCCTTGTGTTCAAAAGAAAAAGAAAACGCCCCCAAAGAAAGATTGGAAAGGATCAAATAACAGTTCCCGTGCGAACAGCCGCCCAGGAACACCCACGCCACAGATCAGCACCTCTTCCACACTGAAGGCAGCTGCCAACAAATTGGAACAAGGTGAGCTGGCTGATCCCAACGGAGACTGACTCACTCACTCACTCAGGGAGCTCTGCTCAATTCCCACTGATATGGGATGGGTGGGGGTGGGGGTGGGGGTGGCGGGAGGTGGTGGAGGGTCTGGGTGCCCGTCATACGTGACGAGGTGGCACAACCACATCGCTGTTCTTATGGAAACGCTCTGGATCCCAAGTGTGTGCCCTGAATCCAGGAATGTTTAATATGGTGGTGTTTTGGCTGTTGACAGGGAAGCGGCAGGCTAACTCTGCAGAAACTCCGGTGGCCAAGCGGCTGAGGATGGACACGGTGACACAGTCTGCCTCCGGCAAATCCACTCCACAACCCCAATCCGGCAAATCCACCCCAAGCAGTGGGTGAGTGAGATAGGAAAACAGGGCAGAATGGAAGGCACTACGATAGCAGGGCGGGGGTGAGGGTGGGGGTCAGAGCGGGATAGCGGGGCGGAGTGGGATAGCAGGGCGGGGGTGGAGTTGTGGGATGGGGGACGGGCGGCGCAACGGTATAGTGGTGCGGGGGGGGCGGAGCAAGATAGCTGGGCAGCGGGGGTAATAGAGTGCGATGAGATGGATGGTGGGGGCATGTGCTGGTTAGGGAATAGGAGGGGAGGGTCAGGATGGAGGGCCAGTGAGACATGAGGGGGCAGGTTTGGGTGGGGGGTAGCATGTAAAGGTGAGATGAGGGTAGATGGAGTGAATGAAGTGGATGGGAATGGGGTAGTAAGGGCGGGGCTGGGGAGGAAGCTGGTTATTGGAATATTTGTGGGACGTGTGGAGGAGCTGCAATGATGTCATTGAGTGGGATGCCCATGTTTAACTCCATGGTTATTCTCCCCACTCCCAGCGATATCCAGCTGACAGAGGATGCAGTTCGACGGTATCTCACCCGAAAACCCATGACCACCAAGGACCTGCTGAAGAAGTTTCAAACCAAGAAGACAGGACTCAGCAGTGAGCAGACAGTCAATGTTCTGGCACAGATCCTGAAAAAACTCAATCCTGAGCGGAAGATGATTAATGAGAAGATGCACTTCTTCCTGAAGGAAGGGAACTGATGGCTGACCCTGGCTGTGTGTGTATGTAGCTTTTGATTTTGTTCCTGTGTATAAGGGGCTGAGCTCCTGCTGGCATTTTGTACAATATGGTGATTGTTGTGGTCTGCACTCAGCATTGTCCTTTCTTCCCTCTGACCTGGGCTTTCAATTCAACCCTAACTGAAGGGATGAGGGAATGAGGATTTTTTTTTTTTAA